CAATGGCCAGGAGGCTGCCATTCTCCTGACATAATTTATTTAACATCTACAGTCTTGTTTAGGATTCAGGAGGAGTTTAATTTAATTCCACGGGAGAAGCTAGCAGCTACTTTGTCAACACTGTCTTGTACAGAGATGCAGGGGAAAGATTTAGAGTAACACATACATTTATCTGGTCTCTCAGCTGTGGAAAGGGTGATTTTCCTTACCTACTCCTTTGCTAGCAACGCAGGCTTTGCTGGAGCCATTGACACGCTTACTGTTAAAAATGCAGCCCAGGCTAACTACCTGAGACCATTTTCTTCCATGCTGTTGCACAGGTATTTTTAAGAAGCAATTCTATAGTAAAGGTTAGTGTGGTCCTGGGAGACTTTCCTATGCACTCAAAGGGACCCATTACCCTCTTAGAGAATAACATATTGATATATGACAGTGGTGACTTAAGAGTGGGAAGTGCCACTGCATCTGTTACGATTACCCAAGATAGACACTGAATATCCTTTGTGTGTGATTTTGGAAGGATTAAAAATGCTATGTAAAATGTATTCTGAATTAACATTTTTCCTAGAAATCCTTCAGCTAAGGGAAAGGATAGCTGCAGTTATGTTTACTTCAGCTCTTAATAAACTAAGTGCTTAACTCAGTGCTCAGAATTATATCCTGAATCTTGTGTGCGTGTCTTTTTTCTTTCTTTCTTTTTTCTTTTCTTTCCCCAAGGCCTTCCCTGATGAAATCCATGTGGAGGGATTTTTTTTTAAGCTCCTTTCTTAGCAAGTGATTGCAGAGAGCTTGCAAATGTGAATTAATGCACTCCAAAAGCTTAGACGCCAGAAGGTTACTAAACACTTACCTAGAAATCACAAGGTTAAATATAGTAACTTGATTAGATTTTTGAATCTTTGGGGTGCCAGTCCTGTAATGCCTAGCCCTTTTCAGCAAGCTTTTATCTCGGGCTTACGTGGTCTCCCTGTTGCTCCTGCCATGGAATCACAGAATTGTTAAGGTTGGAGATCCTCTAGACCTCTAGAGATCATCTAGTCCAACCCCCCTGTACATGCAGGGTCACCTAGAGCATGTGGCACAGGATTGCAACCAAGCAATATTTCCAGAGAAGGAGATTCTACAAGCTCTCTGGGTAACCAGTGCTCTGTCATCCTCACTGTCAAGAATTTTTTCCTTACGTTCCTGTGGAACTTTTGGTTCCTGAACTGAACTTTTTTCAGTTTGTGGCCTCAGGTTCTGTTGGTGGCCACCACTGAAAAGAGGCTAGCCCCATCCTCTTCACGCCCTCCCTTGCAGTGTTTGTATATACCAATCAGGTCCCCTCTGAGCCTCCCCTTCTCCAGGCTGAACAGGCCCAGCTCTCTCTGTCTTTTCTCATAGGGCAGATGCTCAAGGCCCCCAGTTATCCTCGTAGCCCTGTGCTGGACTCTCTCAAGTAGTTCCATGTCCCTCTTGTACTGGGGAGCCCAGAACTGGGCACAGGACTCCACATGTGGCCTCACCAGCTGCTCTCTGGCAGCTGTCCCCTCTGGCAGGCACAGCACAGGGGGAAGCAGGGGCCAAGTGCTCCATTTGACCTGTACTTGGAAAGCCCTCCCTCTAGAAATGGGGCACAGACTTCTGTGTGTACAAGCTTTGCAGCCTCCATGCACAGAGCTTGCTTCTAGTCTGGGTAGTGTAAGATTTGGTCCCTCATATTTGCATTTAGTGATGATCTGCTGCCTAGAAGCATCTGCTCTGTCCATCGCTGCTGACAGAAGAGCTGAGATTTTTGTCCATGTGTGCAACCTTAAAATACTCCAATCTTAAGGAGAATTTCAGGCACCTCTATAGGCTGCACTAAAGCCTGCCAGGGAGCAATTCTGAACTGGATCTCTTAAAGAATTCTCTGGTATCAAAATGCTTTTCTCATGGGAATCTCCTAAGGAGCAGTGAAACATGGTAATTGGTTGTCCGTGTGAGGTGGTTCCTGGCTTGCAGTTCTGGCCACTTAGTTCATTATTGGCCTAGGTGTAAAGCTGGCTGATCAAACCCTAATTGTTTTGTTAGGTGGGCAAACTTTTACCATATGTTGTTGCTGTAATCTTTACTGCTTCAATCAAGTTTTAGTAGCACTATAAACATGATTTAAAGGTTTCTTGTAGAAGTCAGCATCTTTGCTTGTATAGCTTCTCTGGAGTGCGGTGGGGGGCTGTGGGCTGCTGCTGAAGGTGTTTGCAGGTCATGCTTTGCTCTGCGTGCCTGTACTTTCCCAGCCATGCTGGGAAATGTGAGGGGGGCAGAGAGGCTGGACTGAAGCACAGCATCCTAGTTGACATCTGGAAGTTACAGTGTTGCAGGTAACCTGTCATCCAGTATTGCCATTGGGAGCATTGTTCCAGAGCTGTGGTTAAATCGGAACTGTTCCAGATCCTATTTTTTGTGCATGGTTTAAAATGGTTTGGTAGTGGTTTTTCAACTGAGAAAAATGAGGAAATATTGATGGGTGGATAGAAGCTGCAGAATCCCTGGGTTGCCTTAGAGGGGAAGGGACTCGGGTTGTAAACCCAGATGTGGGAGCTTGAGTGGTTACTCTGAGGTGCAGTCGCACTGTCCTAGCTATCGAGTCAGTGTGTCACCTTGTCACCTTGGCCATCTTAACTTGACTCTGTTTAACCTGTATAAAAGCTGAAGTAAAACTCATTTGCTTGGCTGTCAGTGCGCTTTCAGCTAATGCAATTCACCTCATGTTTGTAGCTGGGTGGTTGAATGGTTTGTTGGCCGTCTTGGTACAGCTCAGTTGGCAAGTTGTGTGTTTTTAACTGAAGCAACTTCTGAGACACTTGCTTAATCTGGGAAAATAATGGTGTAATGATATTGACCTCTTATAAAGCACTTCAAGATCACCCGTTGAACTGTACTGCATAATGTCTAGGTATTCCTATCAGAATAATCTGAGGTGAAGGCATTTGGAGCAACAAAGATACTTATCTGAATAAATAACTTAAAAAATAAACAGATGAGAATTGCAACAGTTTGAATCTTTTCATCTGAATTAAGAGATGGCTCTTCACTGATCCAGGCCCGTTTCTGCTTGTATTCAGTGACTATGAGAATCCTGAGAATCCTGCCAGACAATAAATGCTAGGAATAAGCTCCAAGAGCTACAGGGGCGTTCAGTCACGGCCCTATGGGATGGTGCACTTGATTTTGCAGAGGGAGCTCATGGGAATGCTCACAGCATAAAGGTTGAGGGACCGTGTCTGTCTACCAGCCAGAGAGCCACAGATCTGATGA